TGTGTGTGTGTGTGTGTGTGTGTGTGTGTGTGTGTGTGTGTGTGTGTTTGCGCCCAAGCAGTGTGGAGTAGGACCGGGTGTCCAAACGTGCAGTCAGTCTTCCATTCTTGTCTGTCCAGTTGTATCAGTCAGTGTTTCCTCCCAGCTGCCTGTGCTGCTACAATGCCTGCTGCCTCCGCATGTCAAGTCAGGTGAATGCAGCACGCCAAAGCACCCAAACTTACCTGCATGAGGCTCAAGTCAACAACCTCATCCTGGACCCTCACCACAAAGCCTGCGGGCCACTGTAATGTGTGTGTGCCTGCGTGTTATAACGTACATGCTATTGAGAAACGTGAAGGGATATTAGCCTCGTATTAACATGGAGCAGCTCAAATAGAGAAAATATTATTGCACGGAAAAGGTGTCTAAAAAGGCATCTGGGCTGATTTTCATTGTCCACCTGTCCAGTGCTGAAGTCTTTGTGTATGAATATGTTTGTTCCCTGTGTCTATATGTTTGTGTGTGTGTGCAAGAGAGAGCAGAAGGTGGAGAGAGAGAGAAGCGAAGTGTGTGTTTGTCAGCGTAGTGATGTCATTGGTGTCTCTTGCCTCACCCTTCTAGAAGAAGCCGGTTCAGTCGAACGTGGGGGGCCACCAGTCTCCCCGGTCTTCAGCCAGGCCCCTGCTCATGAGAACCTTTTCAGATGAGTCCAATACTGTCATTTAAACAGGTACCAGCCCACCTCCAGGCCATTTAAGCCAATCAAAGACTAGGGTCCCCCAGCCAACCTCTCCAGTTTTCTGGTCACTAACGCTGAGTTCTAACAAGGGAATCAAAGGCATACAGGCCACATTCAACAAGACCCAGTGTGTCCCTCTGTGTTGTATGAGCTGATATTGGCTGGCTGAAGAGATGCACCTTTTCCATGTTAGATTGTCAACATTTTTTTAGTTAAGATGGTGCACCTATGTAACAAGTGAATGCATCTCTAGGCCTAATGTTGCAAACCTTAAAAACATGCTCCTTTCAGCCTCCCTTTGGAAGCCCTGCTTTTATAACCGTCTGCATGTGCTTTTAAAATCCCAATTTCCTTTTTAATTTCAGTCTATCTCATTTTTGTACAAAGTGTGTCTGAGTGTGAGGTGTGTCTTTCAGTTTGCTTGGGTTTTCCTGTCTGACCATCTGAAACCACAGCGCTGGTCTGTGATTATAACTGCAGTCTGACATTCATGTACCGTTTATACCGCTGAAGTTTGTCCGTGGTCGCTTCGTCCCGTGTGCACGTACAGACCTGTGTTGGTGGTTGCCGGCTGCTTACTTTCCTGGCAAAAACAAAAAATGGAATGCATTTGTGAGTGCTGAGCTTAACTCACTGCATGATGTGATGTTGCCTTAACCTCAGACATTGGTGCTGCATTACATAAAGGGGGTGTCGAAATGAATGGAAACATTACTTGATGAAATATTTTAAAGATCGTACAAGGTAAATATGGACAAACAATATTACATAAATACAATAATAAGACTTTATGGAATAAATAACATATGGAGAAATATGAGATCTATATGGAATTGCAAATGATCATATACATTTTTAAAACACAGTTCATTTATTCCAGCAGTTTATGTTAAAATGTCAATTTTCTTTTTATTTATGGTTCTGGGCCCTTTTTTAAACTTTTATTTCATAGAAGACAGTAGAGAGATGCTTTGTGGTTAAAAGTGGTGTTATGAAATAATAAGAGTCACTGCAAGAGAATGGCTCTGTGGTTTAAAAAACTACATTAAGAACTGCTGGCATTAAATAAAATAACAGAAAAACTGTTATTTTGAAAAGAGGCAGGATGAAATAACGTTTTAGAATATGCCGAGTTTTTAAATGTATTGGCTTATTTCATAATTTCATGGTTTATTGACTTAATATTAAACACTTTTAGTCCCAAATATACAGAAGACTTGGGTAGATTGACAGTATAAAGAGCACCGGAGGTGTTCTGAGGTCTGAAGGGCATCGACACCTTTTTATGTACGTGATATTGTGTTTTTATGTTTTAAGTGTTTTCATGTTTTTTGTCAACCCTTGTAGGTGGGTCTGTATGTCGCACCTTCCCATCACTGTTGACCAGGGTCACTCATATCTGTTACTTAACAATAGCATCAGGCCACTGTTCACAGTTTAACTTCCATTTCTATCCTCCCAATAGCTGTCAGAGGACGTTCTCCTACAAACATCCAGGTAAACTACAGTGAGAGGAACCCTACTTACATTTTCTCTGTCTGTTCAATGTCCCTGAGTGAGATCGGGTGCATTTCCTTTACTAATTTCTGTTTTTCTCTGGTGGCGGGGAAGGTGTCGTTTTTGTGTTTTGTGGTATGTGGCCAATCCTAACTTATTGTCTCGATTGACGATTTTTGGTGTTTTCAAGGTGTCTCGTCCTCTTCCTCATGTTGGCACAAGCTCAAAATGAAAACATTGAAGTAAAATCAGTCTGCTTGTGCTTTTCCAGACTGCAGCTGTCACACCACTCTCCTATAAGCACCTGAAGGAGCGCCAGTGAAAGGCAGCAAGGAATGTGTCCCATACCATTCAGGTCAGAGCTGACTGCCATCATGCCTGGTCTTAAAAGAGGAGAAGAAGAAGAGGAAGAAAAAACAAGAAGAAGAAAAAGAGTGATGTACTGACTGGGGGGGGGGTAAAAAGGGGTTTAGCAGTCTATTGACTTGCGTCTCCCCGTCTTTCTCTGCCCAATCCCAACAGCTCCTACACACCCCCAACGCATGCCTGCAGAGCAGTGCCCTGCATTATTTTTTTAAATATCTACTCAGATGACAGGCATGATTTTTCTTTCTTTTACTTCTTTTTTCTTTTCTAAATACTAGCTTACAAATGAATGCATACACGGCTGCCTTGTCAGTAGCTCTATCCAACTGCTGTGTTTTAACAAGCAGTCGTAATAATATCCACTCTAAGAATGGTTCACCTGCATGAAAGAAGGCTCAAAAGAACTCTTCACTCCACTAATGTTCAATCACTGTGTTCTGCAAAGTTGCGTTTCATTCTCTCCATGGTTACACTTTGAACGGTTATTCTACTTTATACTTATTGTGCTTTTCAACAGTTATTCTTTAAATGATTGTGTTTCAGTTCTTGCATTCATGCACAACTCTAAATTATTCTAAGAAAAAAACGTTCTGTGGTTGATGGAGGCTTATATGATTGTTTGTTTCCAATGATAAATCTGCATTCTCTTTTGAATACTAAGATATAAGAGGAGCTAATGGAGGCCATATTTACCACTCGATCCAAAGTGTGTGAGAGTGTGTGTGTGAGTGTATGCAGGATTGAGAGATAGATTAGAGATGTTAAGCAATAAGACATTGCTCGGAGCGAGACCTAAATCTTGCAACCTCAGAGATAATTTAAAAGTCAATTTAAGATGAGAATATTAATATATGTGCTGTACTGTGTATATTTAGCTTAGAGATGTATGAGCGCATCCGCTCAAAGCCAAAAAGATGAACGTAATGCGATCAGATTCTGTCCACACGAGTGCGACCTGAAAGTTGCGTGTGTGTGTGTGTGTGTGTGTGTGTGTGTGTGTGTGTGTGTGAGAGAGAGTTAGTGTAAGTGCATGCTGGATGAGAAGAGCCAGAAACGCCCGTGTGTCATGAGATTACTTAAACCTCATTGATGTCGTTCGCCGAGACATTTCCTGCACTATTTAGAACGCTGGTCTCCTCATTGCTTAGATGGTCACTAAGGTCCATGATTATATGCCCGAGCGCGCACACATCGGATAGACGAGAACACATGCACACAAAATAACACGTTGTACACGTTAATGCGTACATGCACTAAAGCCTAAATGAGGTATTCATGTTCATTAACCATTATCTAGTCTGCATAATTTGTCTCAGGCAGGCTGACGTTGGAGTGTAAAGAAAATCAACTCCAGACCTGCAGAGTCAACATAGTTCACACCACTCCAGGCTCCGTCTCACTCCTTCTCTCTTTGGTCAAATTTGCTGACTGACAGGATGACCGAGTGGACCGTGTGTTCCTTCCTTTAACTTCTTGTGTGCTTCATACATTCCATTTAAACATGCCATGATTTCAAACACTTTAAAATACTCGTTCTGAATATATTCTTGTTTTCTGTTATTTCCACAAGCCTGTATTGTCTATTTGACATATTTATTAAGTGTACTTTTACTCACAAATATTATACTTTTATTATGTAAAGCTTTTTTTTTTTATATATATAGTGAAGATTGGTCAGCTATGTGCTAGCTGACTCTGTGTGTTACTCCAGCCCTAATGTGAGCCCGTGCCAGTCCCTTTTAGTAGTCTTTGTCATACACGCAAAGACAGGCAGCCCCCACAACACACTCCCAGTATCCCAGAGTCGACCTCTGAACCAGTGCCAGTCCTTGTACCAGGTGATCTCAACTCTTGGTGTAAACTGATGAGTACCTGTTACTAATCATCTGTCAGAGTGGTGATTTATAGAGTTTACTACACCACAGATCCACCACTGCTCCAACAACAACTCCAGTGCAGTACTTTCTCGTACTGACCTTGTATTTCACTCCACTGACTGTAGCCTGACATATCTGGTCATAACGCCTAATGGAAATTAAAAGAATTAAATTATTGTTAATTTGCTTTTAACACATGGACAAATTGACCAGCCTTTCAATGTCATTTTCTACTAAGACGACATGTTTTTCTGATAGGACTATGAAGGAGGCTGTTCTTTACTCTGACGTGTCGCCTCCAGACTTGGCTTTGCCGGAGACACCAGATGTAAGAGAGGACACATTGAGAGGGGCTGCCTGCTTTGTTAATAAAACATTATAAAACCTTTAAGTGACATCAGAGATGCTATTTTCAGAGCTTAAAAATACCTTGAAATCTAACATTTTGCCTGTTTAAATGAAAAGTATAAAAGAATGGATTGTATTTTTAATGCAACCTTTTTCCAGCCACTTTTGTAATAAAATGAAAACGTCCAAAAAAAAAAAAAAAAAGAAGCACGAGAGGCTTTGTGGTTGTGGACGCTGTCCCTGTCTGTGAGGGCTGGAGGTGGACTTCTTCAGGCACCTCAGCAGCCCTGCATAATGCGGCAGGGACACCTCGCCACCTCCAGCCCTTTGGGTCTCCAGCCTCAACACTCCAAACCTCCAAGCTGAATGTACCTCTTTGAAACTATATGTTCAAAACCTGAAGATTTTCTCTAATAAAGCAGAATGTTTTGAAGATAAACAAACTGTCTGATAGTGCTTTGTTACGTTATGTCAGCAGGTTGTGCCCGACTTAAGGATGTGTGTGTGAGAGTAAGAGTATGTGTCTCTGGGTCAGAGTGTGTGTTGGTGTGCATTCGGCCACACTAAGCAGATGCTGTGCAGTAATCAGATGGCTGAGAGGCTAAGCTGGATCAGCTGAGTGGCTGCGTATCAGGACGGTGAACTGCTGCTCTCCCACTGCTCCGTGTGTGGCCATCGAGAGAACCTCAAGCACCGTGAGTCACTGTAGAGGAGGTTTATATACATTTATATTGGTTTTCTCCACTTTACCCTCTACTGTTAATGAGTACTCATGTATTCGGAGTAGCTGTGGGCTCAGCAGCGAGGAGTTGAGAAAGGCTCTGTGTATCAGTATGTACACAATGACAGCCTTTCATATTTGTTCTGTTTGAATGTGATTGTTGTGCATTAAAAGCTGTGCTACGCATGAGCCAAACTTGTTGGCTGAGGGTGGGGTAGATTTTCATTTTCTCTTTTACAATGGAGCCATTCTCCACCGTGTATGCATCTATATTATAGCAAAGCTGAAGAAAGTTAGGACATGAACAAGGCAGCCAGACAACTTAACAATCCAGCCTACTTTAGTGCAGTCAGCAGTATACTGAAGGCATAGAAAACCGCAAAAGGGAGCACGAGGGAGTGTGAGGTGAGAGGAAAAGTTGGGAGGGAGTTGGCAGTGTGTCAAGAGCCGACTCTTGAGCTCTGCTCGGTGCAGAGCTGACGCACTAAAGCCCAGAGAGAGAGAGAGAGAGAGAGAGAGAGAGAGAGAGAGAGAGGGGGGGGGAGGGGCGACTGAGAGACAGACAGCAGAGGCCAGATGGAGCCTAGTTTGTTTTGTAGTAGCTGCTGTTGAGAGCAGTCTGCCTGCAGTGTGTGTGTGTGTGTGAGGGGAAGACATCATTACACACAGTCAGGGCAACAACGGAAGAGCAAACCACTCTTTTCTGCTTATGTGGACAGGTCTCCCTTTCTGTTGCAACTGTGCAGCTCAGTGTGGAGGCACTCCATGCAGCTCAAGGTCAGTAAGATCCAGCAGCAGCCTGTCCTGTCTGGATCTCGGGACTTGCACAGGCAGGTTGGCATTCGTTTCCCTGTTGTAGCTCCCAGCCAGGAACGCTGTGCAGGCCTGTAGGACTCTAAAGAGGATGTAAGGCCCGGACTACTGACGGCGTCGCTTCTCCCAGCCTGATCCTGTGTCGGAGGAGAAGGGAATGGGCCCAACCTCACTGCAGGAGGAGAGAGAGCCGGAGAAAGAGTCCAAAAGGGAGATGGAGGGCTACCGCTGCCTTCTGCAGGCGGGCTCCCAACTGGAGAGCACTCTGCAGCGTGAGTACACATGATGCTGGCTGTCCTCGTTTAACTCCTGGTGGCCACTCGCAGGCTGTTGAATGCAATCCTGTATCTGCTCTGAAACTGTTTCCCATCACTGAAGCGCAGGTCAGCTGACTGAAACTTAAAAGCACTGTAGCAGAAGGACATCCATTTAGTTTGCTCTACAGTGTTCATTCGTAACTCCTGAGAACCGTTACATGAGGTAACTGGAGAAATGCACTCTGGGTCTTAGTTTAGTCAGTTTTATTGATGTGCCAGTTCCTGCAGCTTTGCCTCAACACCGGGCCGCTGCGGGGATTATCTCAACTATTTTAAGCCCAGATAAACAGATATTTATTCATAGTGATAATTTGTAGCCTGAATATCAATACGTGTTCTGGATCAGAGTGATACAGTGATGGAAGAAAAATACATGCTGCTCATGTCAACTAATGCACTCGAAAGAAAAAAATGGATGTTCAGAAAGTGCATAATGCAGCTTTTACTATTGAGGGTATGTTGTTGTGTCATGTATTGAGTTACGAGGCTAATAAACGGTCAGCACTTTTTATCCTAAAGCAGGTACTGAATTTGGTACATAAAACCAAAAAGGTTATGGTCTTGTTGATACAATCATGTAATGAACTTAAAACGGTTTTTTTGTTTACCCAAAAGACAGTTTATTTTGAAAAGCATCCCAAACAACATTACCCTCCTCATCAGTCAGTCCTCACTCTGAAGGTGTATGTTGCAAATGGCAGAAAACAAATTTGAGAATGAAGGCAAGATGATGGACAGAAATAGCTCCTGGTGTGATTGACAGCTCCGTGGAGCAGCTCCCTCCAGGCTTCCTCCTCCGTGCTAATGTCATTACTTTGGGATCTTGGCAGCCATGAGTTATTGTTTAATTGATGGGACTTTGCTTCTTTTATGTCTCCTGTGTACCTGGTCTGGGGTCTGTAGGTAACAGAGACTAGGCCGTGACGAGTTTCTATTTATACCACGCAACATTTTCATCTTCACTCTGTTTGAAATGTGAGCCTCTCTCTCTGGGTTTGTCCTAATCTGCTTACAGGGGATGCAGTGGTGAGCATAAAGAACACGCTGCTGTATGTCACAATAACCATAGATTCATCATTTACTTCATGGGTCATAGTACATAGTACTCGAGTGTGTGAGCCTTCTTTGGCTCATTTACAGAATGGGAGCATTTCAATGTAAACCTACCATATTAATGACACAGGGCCTTACATCCCCCAATAGAAGACTGTTCTCCCGTTGGAGTACAAACTTAATCTTCTGGTTTTGGTCTGTGTAAAACCATGAACAAGTACTCCAGCTGGTACAGTATACCATGAACACATATAATTCCTCTATGCTGACAGCAGTATGGTAAATAGCACATTGTCGGATAATATGATATGATAGAAAGCCACGTGAATCATGTTGAATGACCAAACGCTACAAAGGCTAAACAGGCCATAACGCAGTAAAAGCAAATTCCTCCGTCCACTGCCACTTCAACTACACTCTCTCACTCTGTTCACACTCTCAACTACACTGTCTTCAATATCTGCATCCCAGCTAGACTTCCACTGACCTTTACTCTTCAACCGACACTTCAACTTGATGCTGTCAGTGCTTACATACCTGATTTACCCTTCAATCATTCACAGTGCGCACACTTCAACTATCTCCAACACTTGGCAGTTCAACTGCTTTTTGTTGCATAATTTTTGATCCTTACACTTCAACTTAAAAACCGGAGTCAAATTCCAGCCAATAAAGCTGATTTCAGCATGAATGAGCACAGAGAGTTAACTTCATAATAATTACCTTTTTTTTTTTAGTTTTCTCTACATCAGCGTGATAGACACCAAACATGTAGTATTATATGACAGAAAGCCACATGAATCAGAATAAATAACGAAACACTGCAAAGGCTAGTAGCCCATTGGAAACGTAAGATATTCCTCCCTCACCAGCACAAAATATTTTGATCTATTTTGTGTCAAATATCACTTTACAAACTACAAAATGTATTCCAACCAAATACCCACATTACTATCATAAGTGCTGCCCGGCCGAAGATATGCGATGTTATCGTCTAGCGTTTTCTATCTATCTTTCCGGCCTTAAACCAATCTAGTCTTCATGTATCCCAGCAGGGGGGAATACGCAAAATTTTCTTCTTTCCTTTTCTATCAGAATGCAGCCACCCACCACTCTAATCCCCTTAGCATTGAAAGCTTTGTCTAGCAAAATATCTCATGACCTAAAAGCAGTATCAGGCTAGGCCTCTGTGTACTATGAACATGTTTGTATGTGTAAGAAGGGATTTCTTTCTCAGCAAGGGATTACATGTTCCGCTTTTTTGGGTCTCGACAAAATCAGGCTGACTACAACATCCATGCTGGGTATGTCCTCTTGGAACCAGCCTCTTCTTGCTCTCATTCTGTATGATTCACCAAGATGTACTGTACTATGTAAGTAAGGTGTTGTTCTGTACCATCAATAGGTCAGTGGAGAAAATAATATCGTCTCCTCTTTAAAGAGACCATTCCCTGTTTTTCCTGCACAGAACGCTAATGACGTCTGGTGCCTATAAAATGTATACAAACCCCTTTGACTCCTCATTTTGTGGAGGTTTTTCCCCCACTGTTAATTGTTAAAAAGGCCTAATAAAATCCCCTGTTCTTCAATGTTGTAAAAGAATAAAACGTTTCTTAAAAGTACACGTGGGTGAACCCTTTTTAGAAATAGAATCAGTGTAGATGGTTATCACTGTTTGGACAACAGAGATACACTTTGTATGCAGACTGAAAGGATTGGTCTTGGAGTCTGGACCTGTTTCCATCCACACCGGCAAACATTCTTCTTTCTCTTTGTGTGTAAGCTGAGCAGCAAACGGAGGTTATTCAACTTTTGACTGTGCAAATCATCCTGCATGTCACCTGTAAAGGTCATGACGCATTACCACTTTGATTACCTTTAACTGTTTAAAATCTGTGTGTATTAGTGAGTTATTTATGCTAAACTGCTCATAAGTTCTTTGTTTGATTGACAGACTACAAGGCATTTCATGTGGCAGCGTCCTAAAAAGAACTCAATCATGGGACGGGCTGTTAGTCGGGCAGGGAGAAGGGAGAGTACAGTATGTCAACAAGTTTTCCTAACAGCATTGCAGTTTGCAGCGCAGGCTGCCCTTCCTTTGATCAAACACAGTAGAGGGCCGCAGTGTGTGTGCTTGTGCTTCAGTGTGGTTTTTTTGTACATCAACAAAAGTAGATTCAGAACTACACTAATAATTTGTTCATCAAATTTTGACATTGGCTTCCTTTTTATACGATTAAAAACGTACTGCTCTACATCTCACTGGCTCACACATTGGTTTTTATATATATGATCCACAGCAAAATATGACAGTGAATTGCAGTTATCCCAATGGAAATGTTAATTACATGACATCTATTTGTTTAAGACCTGTCACAACTTCCCTTAAGGTCTTGTGACACAGGCTATAGATGGTTATATAACTATCCCAGTGTGACGGTAACTTTACCCTGCATCTGTGTATGCACAGTCCAGCCTTTGGTCCTGCTCTGGCTCGGCTTTGCTCAGCTCCTCTCTGTTACAGGCGCACATCAAATATTCAGCACTTACCAGTAGAGCTCATTACTTCCTCCCTGACAACCTGACGGACACTGTTACTGCAGTCGACGCACGGAAATTAACACCTCCTCCCCTCGCTTTCTTTTGCCCTCTGTCATCTTTTTATGACTCTGTTTTTCGATTTTTCTTCACCAATTCATTTGTAATGTTTCTATTAATTTTGGATGAGGAAACAATTGATTGTGAGCAAATTAATTCATCTGTTGCATTGACTGCTGAACATTTAGTTTAGTATGGTTTTTAAAAACGTTAGTGCCTCAATACTGTTAAATGTCTGTTGTTGATAATTCTTGTTTGAAAAGAAAGCTGGTAAGTCATATTAATGTTTTCCTTACTCCCGATAAAATGATCCACTACAGGCATGCATGCATTACATGTTCTTGCAAGTATTTATTTGATGGTATTTGTGCATTAAATCTTCTGTAAATGTCATGTGAGCATGTGTAAACAGTCCCAACATGTTGGCGAGTCTGTCTTCTACACATCTGGCTGAATGATTCTTGGTGCACCAAAGAGCAGATGAAAGCCTCTTTTGAACTGCACCGACTGCTCTGTAAGAGCATTTATTGGCCACTCAGACAAGAACTCCAATGGCACCGAACATGGCTCCAGACGCTGTACAGTAAATGAGCTAATGCATTTTAATGATGTCATTGTCTAATTGACCCCAGATGCAGGATTTAAATCTGCCACTGTATGCAACACATACTGTATGTAGCATCAGCTGACTAGAGTAAGGGAATATTGGTTCTCTATAAAATTCTCTATTGTAAGATTAAAGCTTATATGTGCGAGTCTCTGTCTTTAAATGGGAGCACTTTCATGCCAAGACTTCAGGCTTCAGTGTGGTCGTCTCTTTGAAGCGTTATTTAGGCCATGAAGTGACTTCATTGAGAGCCAAAATATATTCACTCTTACACTGGGTGTTTTAGAGAAAGACAGAAAAGATGCCCACTCACTTCTGTCTGATTCACAATTACTCCTTCATTCTATTTGGACATGACTGACATTGTTCAACTGATTCTTTCAATTTAAGTTGGACATGGTTTGTAGTGAAGACCCTCAGTTTTCCAGTGATCCCTCAAGCCTTAATCATTTGTGTATCTTCTTCCAGAGGTGACTGTCCCTTTAAGCTTGAAGGAGGTGAGAGGCTACATAGAGAAACAGGTGGCATACCTGTCAGGTGAGGTCTTGTTTGGTCATTTCTTAATAAGATTCATTAGTGACCAAAATGTCCCAGCTGTATTTTCATGCCTCAAAAATATATTGATTGCCGATATCTGTCTTCTCAGGGGGCCGTGGGGAAGACTCCAGTGTCATCATCACCCTCCCGGAGTGCTCAGCTTTCAGTGACATTCCAGAGGAAGCTTTAGCCAAAGTCTTTACATACCTCACTCTCATCCCTCGGTGCGTCCTCCTTCATCTATTCCTGTCTGATTCTCTCCCTCTCTCTTTCTGCAGTGCGCCAAAAGCCCGGTGCTTGTATTCTGAGCACAGCTGGTCTTCACTGCTCCATAGTGCCACACGTCCTACTGATGCCCTCTATGTCCAAACCTCACTCTCCCACGAAATTAGGAAAATTTACATTGAATCGTTGCAGTGAATTCTGAATGATAAACAACTAACGTAATTATAAAACTATAAATTACATGATTTGAATAATCCACCTGGTTATCCTTTCTCATTTTCCTGCCTACTAGCTTTAAATCACCAAATCCTAACGGATTGCACAGAATGACATTACAGCTGTTTACAATTGCCTCATTTTTCTTGCAGAGCGAGGCAACCCGGAGTAAAATTTATCATCATTTTAGACCGAAGATTGGATACATGGGCCTCAATCAAAACTGCACTTGCCAGGATAGCAGTGAGTTTCATTTTTTCATTTAATTTCATCATCGATACCGTTTGTATGTCATCAATATTCTGACTAGACTGTTTAGACATTATATATATGTAATATAAATCATTGCCAGTGAGCCGCAATATGGCTGTGTGCACAGGCTGCTGTTTTGTTTATGAGTTGCTGTCCATGGTGCTGCAATACCTGGACAGCACCCATCAAGAGACTATTTCTGCACACACACACACACACACACTCATGGTTTTTTGGCCTGGTGTATCTTTCCGTGCGGTGTGTAGTTTGAAGGGAAGCGTAAACAATCTGTACTGAATGTTCAAGGCCATATTGCTGCAAATGAATGAGTAAGCAAAAACTGCGAGATGACGCGGGCTGCTGAGGCTGGGAGGCGGGCGGGAGGGAAACATCGCAGTCAGCGCTGCCACCCTCCGTCTGAGAGGCAGCAGCTGCAGCAGGGGCGCTGCGGCTGTGGTCAGGCAGCCGGAGTCCGCTGCATACCGTAGCCTGGCACCGATTTGTACCGCGGGAGCTTACGTTTAACCGAGATGGCTTCTACGACCATGGCTGATTGCTTTTACCGGCGGGGAATGCCGAAGATCCGCCGGAGCCCGGTAACGAGCTGCTCATTAGTTTTATTCACCGTGTGAAGAGTTTGGGGTGAAGTTTTTTTTTGTTGGGGGGGCGTGCGGGCAGGGTGAATGCGGCAGCGGCACCGTCTGTGTCCGCTGTGCGGAGTGTAGCACTGCGGTGCACATCGCACCTCTGCTTAGTCATGCGACCGCTGGTGTGTCTGTGAAACCTAAACAGTGTGATGTGTGGCGTTTTAATGCATGTTCATGTTGAAATAGGAAGCTTGAGTGATTGACCCTTCTTGGTCTATTTGGACAAATGAATGTCAGAAGTTGCGTCACATGCAAATGCATGCACTGGTGATACATTAAGACAAAAAATAAAATAAGAGGCGATGTTACTTATAAATCCTGCTGCAGGTGATGCTATTGCAAGTCCAACATTTTTTTTTTTACTGTGGATAAAATATGAATTTATTATTTTTTAACTTTTTTATTTATTTACAGTTATCACCACACCTGCAGTTGGCTCGACTGTATACTGTTGTTAAAGAGCCTGTGTAAGTCAGGAAACGACCAGAAGACCAGATGCAGCATATGACATGTGTAAATGGTGACGTGACTGAACACTGAATCCATTAGGCTGCCAGTAATGGTCTGTCTGACAGAATGGTTGAGACCTGAAGTCTCTCCTGTCAGACGTGGAGGATGAGAGCTTTGCTTTTCTTCTCATATCTCACAGCCCATGTCTCTTCCTGTGCCAGTATGTAGAGGACTTATAGTCTGTGATGCACCTTGAGCTTAGACAAAGTTGTATCTTCCTCCATACGCAGCATCACCAGTATGACAGTGAACCTCTCTTCCCTCCTCTAGGCCTCTTTTCCTGGGAACCTCCACCTGGTCTTGGTGCTCCGACCCACCAGCTTCTTCCACCGCACTGTTACTGATATTGGCTTTCGCTTCAGCCAAGAGGACTTCATGCTCAAGATGCCAGTAAGGCAGCTCCTCCTCAGTTACCAAACATGTCCCACATCACAACAAGGTACACCTCGTTCCTGTTCCAACCCTGCTCTCCATGAGTCAAAATGTTCTGTGGTGGACACGGCCAAGAACACGTGTTGATTTCAGTTCTAATAAAGCGGGTTATCTTAGGATGATTCTAATAGTTATGGTGATCTTAATTTGTGAAGTATCAATGGTAAAAATATCTGATGTTTGTCATACCATTTCCACAGACTGTGACTATTATGAACGGCCTTGTGTACATGCAAGTGGTTTTAATGACCAATCACACCTATTTTTCCGAATAAAAGAAAATCTATGTTTTTCAAAAACACCATAGGTAACGAAATACATAAAAGGAAAAAAATTAAACATGCCACTCTCGTGACTTTGCTTTGTGTGCAAAGTGTTCCTTGTGAGCTCTCAGATTTCGTCTGCACCTTTAGGTGGTGATGCTGAGCTCTGTCACCGACCTGCTGCGCTACATTGATGAGAACCAGCTTACTTCAGAGTTTGGAGGAACTTTGGACTATTGTCACAGCGACTGGATTGTTTTACGAACAGTAAGCTATAAATCAATTCTGAAACACAGTGGGACTAAACAATAAACAGTGTCATTCTTTGTTGTTTTCTTTTATTTATGATGTTTATCAGTTTGATAAAGCTGCTGCTTTCCTCCTTTTTATTTATATGGACACTGATGGGTAGAAATCCACCAAGGGATCTGTATCTTCTCTCTGTGAGGACACGGAGCCAAAGATTGTTCTCATTTCACTGGTCTGTGTGTTCTTCCTCTACAGGCTATTGAAAGTTTTGCAGTCACAGTCAAAGACATTGCACAGATGTTACAGGGGTTCGGCACTGAGCTGGCGGAGACAGAGCTTTGTGATGAGGGGAAAGCCATCGAGTATCTCCTTGAGTCCCACACTGACAAGTACAGGAAACTCAAGGCAAGGTTTCAAATGTTTTCCTACATTACACATTCATCATTACATCAATGATACTAATCTGTAGCAGTAGCAGTTTACAAACTGCTATTTTGAATGCGGTTCATTTATTATGTAAATTTTCCTCTGTTTGACAGGATGCAATTAGATCCGTGTCGAAGGAAGGTCGTCATCTTCTCACAAGCTTGGAGACCTCCGGAAAGGAGGATGACTCCCAGTGGGATGTGAGGCTGGACTGGGAGACGGTACAGAGGTAAAAAAAAAAAAAGAAGAAAAGTCTCACATTTTTAATTTTCTCGTCAAATTGTAAAACTCAAATACTTTACTGAGTGCTTTAAAGATGTATAGCAAAGTCCCTCTGTTTTTTAGGCTTCTTGCTCAGCTCAGAGACATGGAGTCAGCCTTCGATGGTTTCTTTGAGAAGCATCATCTGAAACTCCATCAGTACCTGCAGTTGCTTAGATACGAACAAAGCTTTCAGGAGGTAAGGATTTCATATATTTGTCATGTTCGCACGTATGAAAGTGTTGTGTGTTTGGACCCATATGCTCATACTCCTGAGAGGATAACATCGTTTAACTTTCAACACTTGGATGAGATATTGTCTTGTCCAATCCTCAGGCTCAAGTTTTAATGTTTAATGTGTGTGTCTGATGGTGTATTTTATTTTTAGATGGAGTTGTGTCTGGAGCATCTGGTGGGTCAAGAGAGGGAGCTCTCCATATCTGTGGATACTCTGGCTCAAACAGAACAGGCTCTCAAAAGGTTGGACAGTCTGGAATCAAATGCACAGGTCAATGTAACCAAAAACGCTTATACAGCACTTAACCTGTACATATAGTGGGTGCCAGAGGACTTTGAAGCCTCGGTGACCGCAGTGTGTCCAAATTAATGGACTCCTCCCTTCTTGTGTGTCTTTGCTGGCTCTATCAGGAGGTGATGTCTCGAGCTCAGATCATCATCCTTCACGGACACCAGCTGTCAGCCGGTCACCACTACGCCATGGCTCTTATAATGCAGCGCTGCAACGAGCTTCGCCACTACTGTGATTCACTCAATGCTGCTCTCAAGACCAAACACACTCGACTTCTGCAAACACACCAGCTGTTGCTTTGTCTTGGACAGGTATTGAGACATGTGCATCTACACACACACACACACACACACACACACACATCAGAACACACTGATTTCTTTACAGTGATACACGCGTGTTCTCCACCTTCAGGCTCAAACTTGGTGTGACGATGGAGCGTATCTGCTGGCCAATCAGCTGGTAGATAAGTACCAGTCTAAAGAGGGGGCCCAGGCTGCTTTGAGGGACATTGAGAGGTTCCTTGAGGGGGCGCCATCCATGCTGAGCTCAGGACCTGATATCCTGGCCATCGAGTACGAAGCTGTCATCACACCTCAGCTGCAGGTCAGTGACCACAACAAAAAATCTGTTTACACTGTGACTTTGATTCATTTTCCATTTTCGTTCTCAATATCAGCGTTGTTTCTGGATTTTACATCACAAATATCTCTCTCTCTCTCTCTCTCTCTCTCTCTCTCTCTCTCTCTCTGTCAGGCCCATATAGGGAAAACATTTGCGAAGCATACAGCGGTGCAGCAGATGATCCAGAGCCGTCAGGCTTGTCTAAGGAAGCTGGCTGATAAACATGTACGACCCATCCAACTGGTGACCCCAAGGGCTGAAAACCCACCTCGCTCCAAGTCCCCGCTCTTCTCCCCCAAACATGGTACAGCACATACACACACACACACACACACACACAGAGAAATTGTTGAAATAGTGATTGTGTCAGCTCATTCATTCACACTTAAATAATGTTTTTCGTTGCAGTAAAATAAACAGCCTATGTCTTCAGTGAGCTTCCTAAAAATCAGCCGACTCCCTACCGACCCTCCCGTGTTTCCCAGGGCCCGGTATGGGGTCTTGTCCCAGCCCTCTGGTACCATCCCCCCCCCTTGCGTCTTTCCTTTAGGCACCATGGTTAAATTAACACATCACAGGTTCCCACTGTTTAAGCCTAAGGTGTTCCTGAATGGGCTTTGGGGTTAGCAGGCCACCTTTACAAACCAGCTAGAACGAGGGGAGAAGGTCTAATCAGTCTGCTGGGAGATACCTGACTGCTCTATTAGGCAGGATAGCTGCTATAAAGCCCTATGTGGTTCATGGACATTAAAGAACCTTTCATCTCCCTTTGTCACTCAAGGGAAGTTGCAGAAAGTGAACCATATACAGTACAGTGGTACCCAATTAATTCTATGTGCGTTTTTCTTTGTCTATTATATCCACTGAAAGCGTCTCCATCCATTGAGTGAACATTCAAATAAGCTTTTTTTATATGTCCATTCATGTCTTTAAGGTTTTGTTATCCATGAAATGAAGTCATACTAATGAGGGTTATAACCAGAAAGAATGAAAGGGATTATGAACCCCTGTGATAGAAGGGACAGCAGCCATTTAAGAGAGGACATGAAGGGAAAAGTGGTTAGCTTTGATCGATTGGATCTGGTACATGCATACAGGCACACGCACGCCTGTGCATGCTCACACATACATGCGTGCCACTCATTAATGTAACACGGCACATGCAAAGGCGCAATACTCAGATGAGCTTGGACCATCATGTAAGGATTCAGCTGTGGGGATCAAGAGGACGGGCCTGCCAAACATTGCTTTAGATCTTTACGTACTGGTTCCAGGCCGCACCTTTAGAGGTGGAAACCTGTTAGCATTGATTACCGGAAATGTTGATCGTGACTGATTGTTTGTTTTTAAGTTACTGAGAAATAATAAAAAAAGGTCATACAAAGGGCGATCATTTTGCCTCATCAGATCACATGGTAATATATAGCGTATGACGATCTGGCTTTTACAGGTGATGGTTTGAAGTTCACCTTCGACCTCTCTCTGCCCGGGAAGAGAGCGTCCCGAAAGAGCCCCAACTCTAGAAAAGTAAGGAAAGATGAAAAACTTGTATTTATTTGTTTTATTTGTTTATTTCCATCAGGAATTCATATTTAGAAATGTAATAATGATCTACGATAATGGTGTAGTGAAAGTCTGACATCGTGACAGCCCTAATTTCCTTCCACTATCACAGCTGTATTGAACCCCAACATGTTTATTATCTCATCATTTTTTCATCTATGGTCCAATACTTTGTTCAGTATAATAACATTTTGTCTAAATCCAAATGGAAAGAGTCAGTGTTGTCCATCTGTGGTGTGTTCAGATCGAGGTGATGCACGACTACCAGGAGAGCCGGAGCTGCGTGTCCTACGTTCTGGATGGAGAGGACAGCCCTGAAGTCTTGAAGCGGTGAGGAGGAGGCATCTGTCCACCCACCTGTCTGTCCTCAGTGCTGCTCTTCATGTTGTTTACTTTGTGATTCTCTTTGTTCACCGCTAATAATGCCCCCTGGCTCTCCTCTGTCTACTTCTCTTTGTGTGTGGTGTTTGTGTCACAGTCATGTGATGAGGGAACTAATAGAGACAGAGAGGATCTATGTGGAGGAGCTGCTGTCAGTTTTGCTGGTGAGAAAACACACTTCTCCCCTACTTTTTACATCACATAGAAATAGAAAAACCATATGGTTAATTCTCCCATGTGTAAGTGTGTTGTTGAATAAATAACTCCAGGTAGTATTGCATATGCAATAACCTTATATTTCCTTAATTATGTTGCTATGATTAAATATTGCAGGGATACAGGGCTGAGATGGACAATCCAGCACAGTCGGGGCTTCTGCCTCCGATCCTGCGCAGCAAGAGGGACATCCTCTTTGGAAACATGCCTGAGATCTATAACTTTCACAGCAGGTGAGTTATCATCAATGACTCGCATCACACAAGTAAATATGCAAACAATTCAAAACACATTGTTGTAAGGAGACAAATGTGGTTCCAATGTTTACTGACTGTTAGCAATATATTGATTTGGTGGTCCATTGGTGTATAGCTTAACATATTAACAGAGTATTTTTTTCTTTTACTAACACTTTAATACATGCAGCGATGTGCCAGCAAAGGCAGGGACAAAGAAGACTGCAAGCTAGTAAATAATTGCTGTAAACAGGGTTCTACTCTTCGTGAGTGGGCCTTCCTGCTGAGGTCCTTGGCTCTGTTTGTTGAGCCAGGTTACAGTAGCTGGAAATACATGTGTGGTACTGAGAGAGATCCTTTGATAGCTCAAGTGGTTCCTGTCGTGTGATTTTGTGATGTGCCACAGATACAACCAACTCTCTTTGGGGAAAGGAAGGAATATAAAACCAGATGGATTTGATAAATACAGTTTTTGCATGGATTGGTCGCAGATAAAGTAAATAAAAAAAGGCTTTGCATATCTGCAAAACACTGGAAAGGATTAGTCAAATGAGACCGGTGCTGGCTGAGACCCTAAGAGACAGTTATTGTATTAACCCCGATGTATGGGTTAAGCTGTTTGAGATTCAATTCTTGACCTTTCTGGGAATGCAGGGTTTTCCTTCAGGACCTGGAGGGATGCCTGGAGGCTCCTGAAAGTGTGGGAGCCTGTTTTCTGGAGCGGGTGAGATGATAAATATTATGTTATGTTGTGTAGCTTCTTTACATTTTGATGATTCTTGCATAACTTCTTGCCACATTTGTCAAACAGATTTCTCTTTCCTGCCTCCCTAGAAAGAGAGTTTCCAAATGTATGAATGCTACTGTCAGAATAAGCCACGCTCTGAGGCGCTGTGGAGACAATTCTCAGACTGCGGCTTCTTTCAGGTCAGTTTTGCCAGGCTTTCCTTTTCAAACAGCAATTTTTTTTGTGATCTGTTTAGGTTTCATGCAAGATAGCTTTACAATATTTCAAGTACTGAAATATGTACTTCTACAGTTCTAGACTATAGTTTAGTTTTACAGTAACAATTATAAAGCTGTGATCTGTCATTGACCAACATTACATGAACTGTTCTTTGTATTTGTCTTCTTTCTGAAGGAGTGTCAGAAAAAGCTGGAGCACAAACTGGGCCTGGATTCCTACCTTTTGAAACCAGTCCAACGCCTCACCAAGTACCAGCTGCTGCTTAAGGTTAGACAGAGAGTGGTGTCATACCACAAACATACACATGATCTCAATCCCCTACATTGTGTATGTGAGACAAGCTATTCCATGCTATACTTTCCATGACATGCCCTTAAATGATATGAAAATCCAAATTCAATTTAAAAAAAAATCAACATTCAGGAAGCTGTCCCAAACTGCATTCATGTGTTTGATAGTTGTGGATAATGTAGCAATTGATTCAGATTCCCTCTTTACTTTACCTCAAATGTTGTGTATATGCCCTTACCACTAGAGTGCGCTGTTTAGCTACTGTGTTTTACATGTACTTTCCTACACGTCTGTTCTTTTGTTTGTGTGTTCAGGAACTTCTCAAATACAGTACAGATTGCGAGGGGTCTTCAGAACTGCAGGGTGCACTGACTGCAATGCTGGACCTGCTCAAATCAGTCAATGACTCCATGCATCAGATAGCCATCACGGGATATGAGGTGAACGTTCTCAACTCCTAAACTCAATTTCTTCTACCGTACATTTCTACAGAGAATATACTTACAACAGAGGCTCACTCTAATGACGTCCTCTCTCTGTTATATGCAGGGTGACATTTGCGAGCTGGGCCGCGTGTTGATGCAGGGCTCCTTCAGCGTGTGGATCAGCCATAAGAAAGGTCCCACGCGCATGAAGGAGCTGGCTCGATTCAAGCCGATGCAGAGACACCTCTTCTTGTACGAGAGAGCTCTGCTCTTCTGCAAACGGAGGGAGGAGCACGGAGACGGCAGCGACAAGACGCCCTCGTACAGCTTCAAGCACTGTCTGAAGGTTGGTCCGTGTCTTTGTTTGTGAGCGTCTTAGAGGAGTACACCGGCCTTTTTGGAACAGAAAGTGACTCATGGTGTCTCAAGTGTGAGGAAATGACATCTTCTGTCAGCTGTTAAGCTCAATTCTTTTGTCATTTTAAATGTAGCCAAGATTACGTCATTTTAAAGTAGGAGGTTGGTAAAATTAGCACTACACATCATGAGGAATATTATCTACAGCCTGCCTTTGTGGGTAAACTTCTCAATGCGTCTCTTTATTTGGTACCTCTCAAACATACCGTTCTGCTTTTATTTATAAGAATGCCACTGTAAGTGTGAAATGTATGCACTGTGTGTCCATATAGTAGTATATAATACTTTGGCTAAATGTTCTACAGTGCAATTTTGAGACTTAGATAGGTGTAGATATATATTATATTATATATAATATGTATTTATACATTACACCTGTGACAATGGTGATTTATTCGTCAAAATGTACTGCTCACTATAGAGTACACTATTAACATGGTTATGTAGAGTTAGAAAACGCAATGCTATAGATAAATACTGACGATGGTTTCCTGCTTGCCACTTTCAAAAAACTGTTACGGTAACTCTAATAACTTAATATAACGGTTTATTGCATTTGTTAAAAGTCATTACATACAATCACTCATGTTATTGTCACTAATAAGATAAGATGATCCTCTATTAGTCCCACGGCGGGGACATTTGTAGGATTACAGCAGCAAAGTGGACAGTGCAACAAGAGACATCGGTAAAAAACAAAAGAGAATTAAGTACAATAAATCGAACAGTAAAGCTTTAGTAAATAAGTAAATCGCAAAAAAGTAACAAAAGCTAAAAAGACAATATAATACACATTATTGCACATATGAAGTATGAAGTGTTTATATTGCATTACGTACATTGTTGTCATTGATATTGCACATGAATGAGTAACCTCCTGTATGTTATGTGCGGTCTATTGGGAGCAGTGTTGGTTGTGCAGTCTGAGGAAGGGAGGAAGGACCTGCAGTATCTCTCCTTCACACACCGCGGGTGAAGCAGCCGGTCACTGAAGGAGCTGCAGACTGCTGTTAGAGTGTCCTGCATGATCTACAATTAGGTTTTAGCGCTACGTAATTTAGTTAATTATCTACTGGAGACACCTAGTTCATGTCGGTGTCTGTGTTATTACCTTTTAACGCGTTTAAGTTGCCCAGCTGGCCACGGAACCTGGTGTATTCCTATAAGACGTCTTTTGTTATATGTGTTGATGTGTGGAGGGTGTCGCAGCAGGTGTCCCACCAACAGCTGCTGCTCCTGCTCTTGATTTATTATTGAGGATGTGGGGAGGAAGCAGTCACACAGCGGAGGTGTGTGTTTGTGTTGTGACAGGACAGATGTGTTACATGATGTAAGTCTGAGGTACGATGTGCTGTTTGTGCTGCTCGTTCTAATGCTGTCTGTGTGTGTGTGTGTATCGGTGTAAACAGTGTATGTGTCTTGGCAGATGACAGCTGTGGGGATCACAGAGAACGTCAAGGGAGATGTGAAGAAGTTTGAGATCTGGTACAGTGGCAGGGAGGAAGTGTATGAGGTTCAGGTAAGGAGGCGGAAAAAGTTGAATGCTAGCGTTTCCAGTAGTTTAAATACAGTACATCGCTGGTCATTTCTTACTCTTACTGTAGTTTAAGTCCCTATTAACTAGAGCTGCAACAATCAGTCAATTAGTTATTTGGCAGAAAATGAAATGATATTTTGATAATCAATATGTCAAGCACAAAAATGGTAAAACTATACGGTTTCATTCCGTCTTCTTTTAAATTGTGATTAATGTGTACTGTCCAAGGTAAATAAATGCCGTTTCTGTTGTCTCTCAGGCTCCCTCAGTGGAGGTGAAGATGGCCTGGCTCAACGAGCTTCGCAGAATCCTGACGAACCAGCAGAAGCTGCTTAGAGGTCTGTAAACATCTGAAGTTAATGTGGGACAAAGAATCTAAGGCCCAATCCCAATCTCCACACTCACAGACTTTGATGCGCGTCCCCACAAAGTCCGTGAGGGTTTAGGGCTGTCACTGTCAAATCATTGAGTGTTTGAAAGATCCCTCGCAGACATTTTGAGCGTTTTATGAACACTTTCTGTAAAACTGCATTTCTGCAGAATTACCCACAATTCATAGCAATGTGACGGTAAACAGGGGGTGACCAGTGGAAGCCAGAGACAAAAAAAAGGTAAACAAAGAGGACGGCACATGGGTGTTCAGCCTGATATATTACATTTACTCAGAGACATTAAGGATTAAAGATGAAATATAAAAACACATGAAATCAGGACATTTGGATTGGGCCTATGTGCAAAGCTCCACTTACTAGCTTCTGCGCTTTCAACTCCATTACACAAACCCCAGACAGCATGAGATGTCTGTGGAAGTGGAGGTGCTTTGTGCTTTGATTCACTAGATAGAATGTCTTTACCGTCCCAGGAATGAAATTAGTTTTCACGATCTCCACATCTTCATATCACAAGAAAAAAAGAAAGAAATATGGTGGACATATAGTCATATATACTCATTCTTGCCCATTCCTTTATCACTACATATACTTGCATGCACGAAAACACACACTGAGGTTTATTCACACACATCTATACGAAGTGTTCAGTGAGGAGTTCTATTTAGGGCTGCTTTGGTAAAGCAGAAGGGACACAACTCCTGACAAAATGAATATTAGTTTAAAATCAAACCTGCACTGGAATTTGAATACAAAGCCTTCTTTCTCTTTTCATAGATGAAGCATATCAACACGGCCAAATGATTGGACACATGCAGCTTCCTCCACCACTCTCCGAGAGGTCAGTGTTTACTGGTTGTTTACAGTTACAGTATTCACAGCTTTGTGTTAGGTGCATGACTATAGGCTATAGTTGCACAAACATACACACACACACACACACACACACAGGAATACGCAACACATGCATTCACGGCACTATACTATCTGCAAGAGTTTTCATATTTGATCACAGCTTGAGTGAATGTGATGATATCATTTGGCGTCGCCCTGGTAGAAGCTTTGTGTGTAGCGGTGTGCGAGAACGGGCGCAGGCCCCATTCTGTCCAGTGCTGTCTGGTTGCCTATCCCCACTCCTCCCATCCCCCACCTGCAGGGGCATGCGGCCGTCCAGAGGGGTACCCAGGGGCTGTCTGCCGGGGCTGGACTTTGTCTCTCTATCGGCCGACGCGTTTCTGTGCCTGCGTTCCCGGAGCCCCCGTCCCCGAAGCCCCCGGCAGCGGCCCCGGCCGCGCCCCCTCCACCGCCCCCAGCGCCACTGACCTTCCCTAATGCTCAGTGGTAAACTCAGCCTGGCTCGCCTCGCCCTGGCATGAACCACCTGGCCTGGCTTGGGGACCAAAAACCCAGGGCTGCTGTGTTTGCATACTGATCGTCACCTGCAAGCTCTTTTTTATAACCTCCATCCTGGTTCATAACTGACCCCTTCACTTCCTCCCCGCATTGAAAGGCCTGTGTCTTAGCAGCTCCTCCATGGCATTTCTAACATGCTATCCAAAGACAATCATTTCTGCATCTCAGATTTGCTGTTTTGCATGTAATGCAAAGGGCGAACAAAAAGTAGAGTTTTGTTTTTCATTCCATGAATATTCTTAATTTCCTCATGACAGCTGGTTTTAAAGATGGGGCTTGTTTTTTTTAGATCTAATCAAGCGACATGTATGAATTGCTTTCCAGAAGCATTCTTACTAAGTGACCAAATCTCTAAATTTGTATCTTTTATAAAAACGAGACCAGATCTTGAACAGCGAACCATGTGTGAACACTGCATCAGTGGTCTGAGTCCTGCTCCCTACATTTACAGATAGGCTTGCACGTGGCTGATCTGTGCTCTGTGCTGCTGTATGGCTGGTGCCTGAAAGGTCATGGCTGTGTGAGAAACAACAGGACAGAGTTGTTCCTTGACACTGATCTGGGGCCAGCTATAATGTTGACGGTATGGATCAGTTTCAGGAAGTGAGAGCTGACCCTAGATTGTGTGGCTGAGGATAACATCTATCCTGAGTGTGTCTGCTGACTGAGCGTTTGATGACGCATGTTATTTCGTGTTGTTACCCCAGCAAACAGCAGAGGGCGTCAGTGAGCTCAGACGACACTGAGTCGGGGAGGAGCAGTCCAGACCCCCAGGCTCACTCCCCTAAACACCAGCACAACCGCAAGAGTGAGTAAACCTGGACCACACACATTTATTCCACCATCAAGTAGATACTTAGTAACTAAATCACAGGACATGTTATGGTAATTGATGCAAACCCTACTTGCATTCCACAGTATTGTACTGCTGTACATTGCTGCTGATTTTCTTCATAATGTAGATATTTGACTCCCCTCCCCTCAGCAGTTCAAGTGTACTTTGATCTGAAGAACCAGGGACATCGAGGAACTTTGGGGAAAAGGGTCCAACTACTGAGATTAGCTTTTGATTCAACGTTCTTGTTAATTTCCCAGTCAGTGACAAAGGGGTCTTTATAATGTCAATAGAGTGACTAAGTATCTGCATGGTGCCTTTAAGGTGTAGTGTTTGGACGAAAGCATTCATCAACACCTGTAACAACCCGAAGTAATGTGTGTTCCACAGGTTGGCCCGGAGCTCATCACTCGGTAGACATCTGCGAGGGTCTGGAGGAGTGGTCTGGAGGTCGGGAGGCCTTCCACCCATCTGACACAGAGGAGGAGGTTTTGGTGCAACTGGTGAGACCTTTTTTTCGATACCATACTATCACTTTTTCAACATGCTATACTATGATTTTTTTCGACATACTATATTGAGACTTTTAAAATCACTTCAATATACTTTTTTGACATTCTATACTGACTTTTTTCAACATACTATACTATGACTTTTCTTTAACATATTATACCATTACTTTTTCTTTTTTTCGACACTGACTTTTTTGGACATGCTATACTATGACTTTGTTTTTTACACCTTTTTAACATACTATAATATGACTTTTCTCGACATACTATACTATGACTTTTTCATGACATAATATACTGTGACATTTTATGGCATAGTATATTACGGCTTTATATATGACATACTATACTATGAATATTTATGGAATTCTTGCCTTCATTATGAAGCAATTTTCAAGTCTTTACTACATACATACATAAATCTTTACTTACCTTGTTCCTGAAAATGTTCCTGAAAATGTTCCTTTTGTGTTAGTCTCCAGGTAGATACAAGTCTCTGGCTGACTGCCTTCAAAATGGACCAGACAGCATCACCATCAAATGTGGAGACGTCATTCAACTGCAGTTTGAAGACAACAAGGGACGCTGGTGAGTTATCACATAATGTGAGGTAAACTAGTCCGTCAGGGTGGCTTCGTTATCAGCCAAACTATCCCATATGTGGCCAAAGTAGCTACATAAGGTATGTTTTTCTGTTTTTAGTTAGATACTAAAAAAAAGTAAAAGTACAACTTTATTGATCTAATTTCAATCCCTTTTTCCTTCTCACCCTTTCCTGGTCTTCTTCATCCTTTAGGCTGGTAAAGAACCTGAGCAGGCGACAGGAGGGCTTCATAGCAGTTTCCAGCCTGCAGATGATTCTAGTCGACAGCAGTCGAGGACACACATCCAGACTACGGGGTAAAGAAAAGACACGCTCTTACAAGATGACAATATAAGGCTGAGCCATACTTTTTTAAAACATTGATTATCTTTTTAAAAGTCTGTATATTTTCTTGCAGACCCAGTGAACCTGAAGGCGAGAAAGCTCAGCTCCCCGTAGAGAAGAAAGCACAGAATTTGAATCTGACATTTGACGATGAAGAGACAGAAGGAACAAGTTGAGCCATAGCCGTCTCATAACCGATCAGCCGACCACGCCTCACTCCCCGGTCACGTCTGCTTTCTCCAGCACAGATCAATCATTGAAGAGAAAAATGTGGGAATCTACAGACCTGATTTTCTTCCAGCTTACGTTGGACAATCTACTGGTTCAGTGCTTTGAGATAGTGAAGATGTGAAGTGGCACCAGTGCAAAGGCTCAGGACCTGTTTAGCCCCGTTAGACAATCAAAAGCTGAATCTTGCATCTTGACTGGTCATCCTCTTCTCTGATGGGTGAGGAGAATCCATCTGTAACACACATACAGTCAGGATGTGAGATTGCTGCTTCAGCAGTTTGTCAATTCACAATCTGTGGACCCTTCCTCATTCCAAACAGTATTCCAGATGCTAGTATCTCAGAGTGTGTGTTCCTGTTTGTCTCAGTGTGTGCTGGATGGATGGGAGCCCAGGATTTGCCTGAAACATTTCTTAAAGCAGAGACTTTTGTACATATACATACATTTTAACATTTGTTGTACCTTTAGTGTTTCATCTTTGTGTAGTTAGTTGACATTTGTCCATTGAATTACTTCATTGTATTTTTCTTAAATTACATTTTTCCCGAAGGCAACACTCTTCTGTGCAGTCTAGGAGTTAGAATGCCAAAATGTGCCATGCCATAATGCCTTTTTTATTCCTGCTCTTTTAGAGTCTCTTGTATGTACTGTTTGCAAAATCAACTGCTCTGTTATTGCTTCAACCTGACCTCACAAATATTCAAAAGGCACTTTAAAAATGGTGGATGGACCTAAATCCACCTACTGTCTACTGAATGTGTGCTCTTCTTGCTGCTTTACCTCCGTCATTGTGTATTTTCTCTTACTCATGCTGCTATTTCTTTGTGTGAAGAGATGCAGGCAGCAGCAGACATGTCATAGTAACGACAGTAATGTAGGACACATGATAAAGATTGATGTCAGAGTATTCCTCAGTGTGTGCCGCAGCATCGAGGAGGGAGAGCGAGGCAGAGCAGAAGACAGAGAGATTATGCCGCGTTCCCCTCTATCACAGAGGCAGATTGTTTTCTCCTCACCAGTACAGCGCAGTTAATCTCGGGTTCCCCATTAAAAGGGATCATACAACCGACATGAAATGTACCCTCTGTGTTGAACGCCTAATTAAATATTGATTGCAGACTTATATGAATTTACCACATCAAATCGAGACCCAGTCAGAGGGCTGCCTTTGAGTCACTATGTTTGATATGCAAATGAGTGTAGGAAGCAGCAGGGGGCTGCTTCGTTGTTCATTTATTTATTTTACTGTCATGTTGTTCCTTCATATTGTGAGGTATCTGTGCAGCTCCCAATGAAATTACATTTCCATATATTTAAAAGGAGCTAAGCTAGGCTGCGCACCAAAAACGCATTTTATTTCTTTTTAGCTTATTTGACTAAATCAGATCGTTTCTTTGTAACTTTAATCCAAAATGCTGCAGAATTTGCACAGATTTTCCAGATTGGAAAACAAAACAATATGATTTACCCTGATGAGCCGAGTAACCTGAGCTTGCTGAATGTTTCTTTAAGGTGAAAATGCATGGCAGCTGAACACTGAGCAGCTCTGTACTGTTAGACAGTCACTGTTCTAAACTGGCTCGCTTTTGTAAAGCTTCAGCTCTGTAAAAAATAATTATTCATTGCAATAATTGTTTTGGTAATTGAAATAATTCAGTACTTGTTTCACATGGTTTTACACAGTGAAATGTTTGACTGAACACTAAGACTGTGCTTTTTCATGCACGCTTATTTCTGTATTTTTGTTTTAATGGAAGCTGACTTATATAATAAAGCCATGCAGATTTTCTCTGTTTCTGAATACTTGTATAACATTTATTTACCAGCAGATGGGAGTGATGCGTTTTTAATTGTACACAGTCAGTGCGTTGTAGGTATGACATGATTTTGATGATATTTATTTCATACGGTAAAGACATATCACATCATAAGAGTATCTTTTTTTCAAGTGCATTATTTACGATGGAGACGGCTCCTGTATTGGTTCGATGGAATTTAATAGTCATTCAGAAAATATAAATTACACATTATTTATTAGTTGTGTATGTCTAACCCCTTCCTGTGAAGCAGCAAAAAAAAAAAAGATTTGAGCATTCGTTGACCCGTTCTATTCTTAAAATCTATCATCTTTAAATCTCAGGGTCAGGGTCTTCCACATCAAATGCCAACCTGCGTTTAGTTAATCCCATAACATGGTTTATCCAGCGATAATAAAGGGACACCCGGGTGTACACGCCATATTTCCCTTGCTTTGCACATTCTTCCCCCCAGCTCACGATGCCTGTGAGGAACCACGTGTCATGAATGCTGTTAGTGTGCGGACCTCCACTGTCCCCCTGACAGGCATCCTTGGCCTCATTATTGTATCCTGCACAAAACATGACTGAAGTGATCCTGGCACTGCTGCTCCGCTTACACTCGGTCCGATCTGTGAAGGGAACCTGGACTTTCTGCAAAGTGTCAGCTGTGAATCCGAGGAAGCGCGTTCGGCCCCAGCCGCTGACCGTGGCCGGGGAAGACTCCTTCACTAGGGCCTCGGTGAAAGCCTTGGGCCCTATGCAGATGGGTCGGACTGTTGTGGAGAAGACGATGGGGCTTTTGAGGTAGAGCAAGGCAATGTCATGGTTGTACAAGCTCACACTGCCATTGTAGCGTGGGTGTATGTGCTGCTCCAACACTTCATAATCCTGCTCTGTGCCCTCGTTGATGTCGATGTTATGCTCCCCTGCAGGGGTGGAGAAATTAGACATAACTGAATCCCTTTAGAAATTTACTTAAATAAAACATATGCAGTGGATGTCTAAAAGTAGATGGCAAAATAATTTGCCTTGTAAGTGTAATAAAATACATGAAATTAAGAATTATTTCAAGGATAACAATAAACAACTTTACACTAGGGCTGCAATAACTATAATCTTTGATCATCAATCTGCAGATCATTTTTCGATTAATCAATTTGTCTATAAAGTGTTATAATGTTAAAAAAGATGAGGTTTTGAAATTGCCTGTTTTGACAGACCAACAGTCCGAAACGCAAAGATGTCTGTTTTACTATCAAATAGGACAAGCAGCAAATCCTCACAACTTAAAAGCTAGAACCAGGTATTTTTTTGTCCTTTTTGCTTGACTCAAACAATTAATCAGTTATCAAAACAGATGACAAATCAATGAATCGACTAATCGTTCAGGCTCTGCTGTACATAGAGCTCCATCTGGCCTTAGCTGAGGTGAAACTACAGCGGTGTAGCTGGTGGCAGTCAATCTTACCTACTCTGATGAGGAAGGAGCCTGCTGCCTCCACCAGGCAATGAGCAGCAGTGACGACCCACCGTTCGCTGAGAATGGAGCCCCCACAAAATAACTGACCGCTGGGTCGCTCTATCAAGGCTATCTGAGTACAACAACAAAGAGAGAAAAAAGCTGTGAATAGCTACAAGAGAGTGAGAACATGCTGCTGTTCTTCTCCCTCTTGTATTGTAACAAAGCCTTACATGCATCAAATACTTGTACTTCCATACAATACCTGCCATGGGATCTCTCCTGGGATTACCACCTCACCACCTACAATGCGTTTAAAAGGCCGAGGCGGCTCCTCAGTTGGGACCTCAGCATCACGGTAAACCCGCCGGGCCACAGAAGAGTCATTTGTAGCAGTAAAAGGCACTGGTGTACCGGCTGGAGTTGAGTGAGGGGGTGTCGTAGTGTTGATGCTGGTCAGTGAAGTGGTGTTCTGCAGGCTTGCATTCCCACGGCCGAACAGAGACCTCGTGTATACTGCACTTGCCTCTGTCAGGGCAGTTCTGCCACACGGATATTCAGCTGGTGGTGTGAGAAAGGAGGAGTCACATTGTGGAATTTAAGAGTCAGGAGTTAGGAGGTAATCAATTCTGAATATATACTAAATACCTTCTGGTTCACAGCTAAGTCCGTCCTGCAGCAGCCTGTATCCTCTCGCACAGGAGCATTTTGCTCCAAAGGTTCTCATTGATTCACAGAAGTGCATACAGTCCCCATTGTGCACATCACACCTTTTTGTTATAGCTGAGGAGAAAAAAACCCACATCGTTAATTCAAACCCATCTGTTACCACTCTTATTACATATATACAATACAGTAACTTCTGTATATTTTATGTTTTTTAAGTGTCAGAACAAGGGTTGTAGAGTTCGTCCCCGATCACACTGAGTGCATTAGAAAGGGATCTCTTGATGGCCAGCACGGACCGGAGGAATGATTACAACTTGTTTCAATGTTCACATTTAAACATAACTGCTATTTGAATTGTGAATCTATCCTTTAAGTGCACCTATTACACTGTCAGGTAAAGGTGTGATTCAGGTAAATGCAGTCACTACTCAGAGGGCACTTTGACTGCTGTTTTTAGAATATCCAAAAAGACAATCTAATTTTGGGACCTAAAACCAGACTGACGCTGCAAGCCATTGATTTAATTTAGAAACAGAAGAAAGGGGAAAAATAGTGTCTGGCTGTTTATCCTTTGAGACTAAGATCTGATCAGCTCTGATCTCATATTCTAAGAAACATCGGATCATGTAACATAAAAATCGAATTTCTTTGAATCACATTTTTAAATCGAGCCACACAGCTTTCACTTACCAATCTCACAGGTCCGGCCAGTGAAGCCAGACGGACATGTGCAGGTGAAGTAGCCGAGGTGGTCTTTGCATGAACCTTGGTTCAGACATGGGCTGGATTTACATTGATTCCCATCTAAAGAAATCCAGACACAGACCTCAGCAGACAGTCATCTCATCAGTACTTTTATAAAGCAACGTTTACTCAGGGAGGAAAGTAAAAAGAGAAACATGCTAACATAGAACGTCTAAGGTTTTACAGTTATACAGTCACTGACTGTGATCACAACAGACACATTAAACAAACAGTCACCACTGTGACATTTTGGGAGAAGTGTTATTAAAGACGTTCTTACCTACATATCCCACCCAGAACTCCATCTAAAATAAAGAGTAAAGTCGCCGGTGAGTACAGCCAGTAAAAACAAGAATATGTGAATGCAAAAATAAATACCCACCGTCTTTTCATCATTCTCAAAAATCTCCCTGGCCTCTTCCAGGTCACACACTTCCTTTATACACTCTCTCTCCAAGTTGCCTTCCAGCAGCTCCTCAAACACACCAGTGTTGTAGCGTTTGTGTCTCCTCAGAACGATGGCGGCTGCCTGACCGGACAGGAACACCGGGCCTGAGGCTGGAGCTACAGCGGGCAGAAGGAAAACATAGTTAGAGTTTAAGAAACTGTCCTCTTCTCACTCACCACAACAACAAACATGTACAGTGCAGAGATATTCTCTTCTATCTAGATAAAGTAAATAAAAAGGACAATGCTCCACCTGGCACATGTACTCACAACGCTCTAAAAGTAAGACTGCACAACTAAAACAAACCTCAAGTAAGAGAGAAGTTATTTACGCGCATCAGAGACGAAACATAAAATACCTCCATAGCCCAGCTGAAAGTCCAAAAGCAGCAAACATAAGTAGGACAAAGAAACTAGTGCCATTCTCTGGTATCCCGACACAAACAGACACTGGACCATCACTCCAAAGTACAGAGCTCTATTTGCACATTCTGTCCAAAAACACCAGTGTGTCAACATCCACATGCACAGAGAGTTTTTGTTTATATGTAAATGATGAAACATTGGGGATACCAGAGCAGACCACGAACCAGTCCTGCCTCACAGAACATCCCAACCAGTAGACCTGTATTTACCAGTTAACTTCTTCTGAAAAGACCACACAATGAGTTGTGATCTGCCCAAAGGTAGCCATAAACCAAACGCATGAAATATTGATATTTAGTTATGACAACTGGATTGCCTATTTACATAAAGAACTCAAGCTTCAGTCAACTTGAAGCTTTACAAAGCATTATATTTAACAAATGAGATTTAAAATAGAGAAAAATAAACTGATTTGGTTGCCACCTTTGTGTTTCTTAACAACTTTAAAAGAGAAAAGAAATGTCAACGCATTAAGAAAATGACTGCACAGAATTCAATATTTTTTTGATACTTCCCCTTTTCTTTCTTTAAATCCACACTTTATCTATAATATACACTTTGGTTTTGTTTGTAACGGTGTTTCTTTAATTACATTCATCTATTCTTCATGTTGCTTCTCTGTGGGCATTGCAGCTTTGTTAACTGTGCAAATATCTTGATTGCTTGCATTGAACTCACATTTTGTGGAACGACATAAACATAAATTTAACGTTGACCGAAGTCTTGTTTTTCATGAAACGCATCTTGTCCAACCCTTTCCTGTGTCCAGATAATATGCACATCAAACCTTTGCCCACAAGATGGCGCTCACACTCCTCAGTCATTCAACATAACAGAGACGGGATCATGTACCCCTTTATTCATCACTGCAGCACAGAGATCACTCTCAGTAAGGATACATTACCAAGAGTGCTGAGGACAAGATAAACAAATGTATGTTTAAAGAATGGCCTTATTTAACTAAAACGTCTACTATCAGAGGCAGTGAAGCCACAAACTTTGTGTGTATACGTAAAGTGAGGCAAGACATAGTTCATTCAAGGTTTTTTCAATAATTGATGTATGTATTTTACATTTCTCCCTTATTGAACTTGGTGAAGCACAAACTAAACTAATGCACAAAATGAATGCACTTAAAACAAATTGTGACTCCCAAGACAGTAACACATTAATGTAAAAGGAAAACAATATTGGACTTTTTTTTTTTTTTGGTCAGTGGTGAATCAATACCCGAGCTGATGATGTAGTGGTCAAGAAAGATGTGAAGCTTGTGCTGACTCAGCGTGGCAACTCACGATTTCACCACGTTGGTCCGTATATAAGATGCAACCCATCACTGGCAATGAAATCCCCCCAGAGGGAGTCCAAAGTCTTCTCGAGTGTTAGCAACTATTGACCGGAGGCATTTATATTTCATTGAATCGTTCACAGGCTGAATAATTAATTCACTTGAGTAACTAACACTGTCTGCTCAATACAAGAGCTTCTCCATCATGTCCAGCCAGGATGAGTGTCAGAATAAAGTCATTCCAACTATAGTCTAAAACATTTCTGTGTGTACACTCTGCACTGCCCTGGTTGAGTCATATGTCTAAATGTAAGTCTGTTGCTGAGCCTTGTGGAGAATGCTTTCCACCTCGTCTCTCAGCCTAGTTTACCAGCAGAGTGGATACAGAACATGACGGGGAGTAAATTAGCAGCTTGTTTTTGCCATTATCACTGAGGCGATGACTTTAGATGGACGGTGTGGGTGCATGGATGGATAGAAGGAAGTCAATTTGTCTGTGACTGACTATTGATTTATGAAGATCACCCTGACATGTCTGTCTTCTCTCTTTCTTTGGCAGCAGCGCACAGCTGAGGAGTATGTGTGTCGGCTCCAATTAGATTAGTCACTATAGTGTCGGATCAAGTCGGGGCCTTGCAGAAGACTCTGATGCTTGCTCAGTGCTATTGATTGTTACCGTGCAGTACCTCCCGGGCTGCAGGCAACCCAGTCGGTCTCTCACCAGGGATGCAGAGTCATTTGCAGAGGGCCTGTGTTAAACCTTCTTCTGTAGTTGTGAATCAGAAATGTTTGCAGAGTTCAAACAAGGGCAGCGTGAGGATCTGTACAACGACAAGCCCACAGTTAGACTTTATTTATTCATGCTCAACTTGTAATATTTAAAGGCTCAATCAATGATCTGAATATAAACACATTTTTCAGTTTATTTATACAGCTTCAAATCAAGACATAGGTTTTCTGAAGACACTTTTCATACAGAGCAGGTCTAGAGCGTACTCTATGTTTTGCAGAGATCCTACATTATGAAAACGGCATTACCAAAAGAAAAACCCCATTTACAAAAATAAAACACATTAAACTTGGATTTTTTAATGACATATGTACGATACTGTGACTTTTTATGACGTACTATTCTATGAATCTTTTACTTTTTTGTGATCAATTATAATACGACTTTTTATGACATTTTTTCGGCATTCTATACTTTGACTTTTTTGCATTAATGACATAATATATAGTATATACTATATTATATAGTATAATATATATACTTTTTAAAATATTTGACCTTTGTTTGGCACATTTTTAACATATATAACTACTACTTTTTGTTAAATTTTAGTAGTATAGAACAATATTACTTCTCAATGACAAGTTATAGGTCGACTATTTTGAATGCATCTTTCATGCTATACTACTAGTTTTTGTGACACTTTCTATGACACACCATACCTTTAACAAAAAATATACATTTCTTATACAATGACACTTTTATGACTTTTTTGTTGACGTAGAATATGACTTCTCCATGACATTTCTATGATAAAATCAAATGACATAACTATGAAGATGAAAGAGAAATGTACGAACACTTGCTTCACTGGGCGCTTCTCACTACAGCGTGTACAGTAATACCCAGAGGGAGCTCCAATGATGTGAGCTGTAAAAAGAAGCACTGCGGGCCTCAAAGCGCTGCTCCACCACCGCCTACTCTACATAAAGTCACTGACATTAATGTGATATTTGAGAGTCTCGCTCCGTTAATTAGTACAGTCATTTCTGTAATTTTAAAAACCTGATGTTTAACAATTGGTTTGATATTTGGCAGAAGACAGAAGTAACTTGATTGATTAATAAAATCACAGTACTCAAATACAGTTTTTCCATCCGTGCTTCTTTTTTAAACTTATTAAACCAGGTAAGGCTACTGGTTTAATAAGTAGTAAATGGGTCAGTGAGGTCTTATTAGTTCATAAGTTTAGCAAAATTTGTAAATCATAGGGGTGCATGTTTTTATTTTCTTTGAAGTAACCACATGTTCAGGTGTGGGACAAATGAAGAAGAAATAAAAAAAATCTAGTGCCTGGGTTTACATGAGTATATTTACATAGCCATGCTTAAGCCTGACAATAGCGACCCAGAAACACACTATTATGAGTTCCTCAGAGATGAGCGCTCTCGTCTTCTCCTGGTTCTGTGAGCCGTGATGCAGCCGAGCTGACACACGCCGGCGGCTTGGGGATGTTCAGCCACCGTTAATGAAAAGTGGAGCTCCCATCCTTCCGAGTCAAAACGTGCCCGCAAAGCTCACAGTTTTTCTGCCGAATGTCAGAAAATGACTCGTCTACATTTGACAGAGCTTCGCACTCTTTAGTAAAGCATGCCTCGGTTGCTAATAACTCACCTGCTAGTGGACTGATGAAGACTATCACCAGTCCCACAGCTGAGTATGGCCTGGCTCTGTGACATGAGAGGTATACAAATGCAATCGGAGGAGCGACCAAATCAATTATGTGGTGTGTTACAGGGAGACGTGACAGAAATATGACGTCCTGTCACACCTTTCGACCCTGACTTCTTTAGTTTTGAAATAACTTGCTGACCGCGTTTTGACCCGAGGAACTGAGATCAATGCGCCTCAGCTCTTTCATGCTGCGAGATAAACGAGCAGGTGCAATAGTCCTGCAAGTGGTGTTTGATGGAATGCATCACTTTTATGTGCAAGCCCATCACACATAAACACGCAGACTAAAATGCACCAAAACTTGAATGGACTTTACTTTCCTTTACAACCATCTACTTTAATCATGCGGCATGCGCATCTATTATTCAATATATTCATTCATGATGACAACATAGCTAGATATAGCATTTACTGTAAAAGGTAAGTAAATTTAATTCATTTTTTTTTTTTTAAATATATACTTTCCATGTTGACTATTTACTCAGTAAATCTAAAATGAGTGAAGTCTTATCAGACAGCCTGCAGCTGTCTGATAAGAGCACATGTCACAAGTCCTAATGATTCATGTAACTTTTGGAACATTTTGAGTGATAGACAGAAGATTGTTTGTGATAAATCCCACATTACACAAAATACATGACACATATTGCACAAACAGTCCTCGACCTCCAGCTTGTATCCACAGTCATCAGCAGCCCTGTAACAGGCCCGGCCTGATTACCTTATCAGCCACACTCAGAGCTTGAATCAGGCTAACACCAACAAACAGTTGCAGACGAGTAACCCTGCTGCACAATATTGGCGCATTAATCACCCTCCAACACCTCACCGCCGGTCCCAAAGAATGATTTTGAGGATTAATTCCTCCCAGCATCCATACGGGCTCCTCCACAAATATCACCGTGGGTGATTTTCAGTCCAGATAAGTTACAAATCAAGCAGCTCCTCAGCGATTGGTCTGGTGTTAGTCTGTCAACCCGTGCAACTGATTTAGAAGTCAGCTCAGTGTGCAGAGGGCCGAGTGGCTGTTATCCATGCCATTTGGAATTGATTTTGAACTGCCTGCCTTAATGAATATAAACTTTCAGCTCTGAAAATAGAATCTGATTAAATACATGGATATAGTACACGGTGCTATCAGGGGGAGGACCAAATAACATCACCATTTATAAAATCTGTTTGCAAAATGTTCATGTATTCAGTCGTTCATTTAACCTTTCAATCGTTCTGATATTGTTCCGATGATTCTCTTTGCCAACAACACTC